AATCACAGAACATTATGTTAGCTGATCAATCAGAGCCTCTTGAAGGTGGTTCTGTAGTAGCTTTATATATCAAAGTAGGATTTATGAAAAGCTAACATGATTTTCTACAAATAAAGCATGCATTGCTTTGCACCCTATAAGCACAACCAAGCCTAAAAATCCACTCTTGACCACCCCTTTAAAACAAAACCTCCAAAAATGAGCCCCATTTACTTACATTTCAAGAAAAAAAAAACAGTTAATCGTAACAAACTTGACACAAACTGTGAACTAAGTTTAACTTGTACTTAAACCTAGTATTATCCTTAAGTCTATGGGAACTGAAAGACTTTTATTACAGTATGTTGATGTACTTCCAATGGGCTATATGCACACAAACTTTTAATTTTCAGCCAGGCAGCCTAACGGCTCTCGGTGAACTGTCCATTACAAAATTGTCTCATTTAAGATCTGATTTCTTTCAAAATTAGCAGTCTTTACTGCTTGTCAGAGATGCGATATGAAGGGGGTCTCAGACCGGACAAAAAGCACTGCATTAAGTTCCTTTTCCCCCTGCCATGTCTTTAAAATATGACCCCATTTTTTTATTTTCTTTTTACCTCAGTATTTTCAATGGAATTTCTGCACTAGCCTGTTGCTACTGACGGCGCTAGTGGTTACAATGGTCTTTCATCTGGTTTTACGCTCAAGTAAATGAATGCTTAAATCTATTTATAGTCACATAAAGCTTTGACTGGAAGTTTATCGTTGGCTATAAAACTCTAGCTGTGCATAAAGCCTATTGAAACATAATATTGAGTAGGAGGCGGAGCTTTCTTTTTGCGAATCATTCCCTCATAGCAAACTAACATAGATATTTACATTAGATGTCACCTATGCTATTGCTGTCTATCGGAAGGAATGTGTCAATAGAGCCACCATTTTAGTACAGGGTAGCGCTCCTTTAAAATGAATGTGGGATCAGGGTGCAGTGGAGGACTGTCCATCCAGAGCCCAACATATATCTCGGGAGTTTTCTCGGTGGACAGTATACAAATATTTTTTTAAATAAGAAAATTATAATTTTACATCACTTTTCTACATCGATGGATAAGTGACCGCATGGGCATTGCTGACAATATGTGTTTGACACTTTTGACTTGTATTAAATGGCATATTTAGAGGTTTTTGCATTTAAACTCTTTAAATATGAAAATATACTTATTTATAAAAAACATTATTTTTTATCATTATTTTCTTTGGGAAATCTGTTAAAACTTGATTTAAATTAAAAACTGAAGGCTATAGGCAAATAGCAAACTGGCCAGTGCATTCAATCTTCCTCAGTGGGAATTTGGCCATTTGAATAATAAGTTAAATTCAAACATAATATTAATCCAACTTTTGGTCTTTCAAACCACCTGAACCCCCTTGGCTACGCGCCTGACTGTTTAATTTAACTTAATAAATTGTATGTAGAGAGGATTCATTACTAATGTATTTTAATAGCAGTTAAGTAACTATTAGCAATATATAACATATATAATATACATAAAAAAACAATATTCATTCTTGGCGGTGGTGTGGGGGGTTTGTATTCACTCGTCCCCAGTCCCCACCAATGTCAAGTGCAAACCTACCCCCTTGAAATTAGGGCTGCACAATATATTGTTTTAGCATCGATATTGCATTGTGAGCATTTACAATTAGTTACATAATGAGTATATGCAATGTTGAGTCTGAATTAGTTTATAATTTTGTGTTTTTTTATTTATTTTTTTATTTAAAAAAAAATTTGGAAGCCTGTGAATGTGTGAGGGTTTTAAAAGCATTCAAGCACAAGAAATTGTACCGTTTGACGAATAACGATTAATTTTATTGAATTGTTTTATAAAATGAAGACTATGCAGTATTTTTTTTACATTTGATTATTTACTTGTTGTGTAGCAGAATACAGTTTGACTCATTTGAAAACAATAAAATGCTGTTTATTTCATTTGTATCTTTTACTATAATAAAATGAAGACTGTGCAGCATTTGATTATTCTTTTATTGTAAAGCTGAGTTTGACTCCTCTCAAAGCAATAAAATGCTGTTTATTTCATTTGTATTTTTTACTTTAATGAATTTATCCATGCCTGTAGATTTTCTTTTTCTTTTTGCATACACATTTTATGCGTATGCATTCCCCTATTGATTCCTCTATTGATCCCAATCAATATAAAACTATTAATTCTCTCCAAATAGTTATTCAACAACTCCAGTGCGATTGTATTCCTATCGATATATATCATAGGATAAAAAAAAATGTCAGTGTTAGATTTTTCCAATATCTTTCAGCCTTGGCTTAATTGTTCACTTTAAGAATAACAACGGTCCCCAGTAACATAAGCATTGTAAATTTTGACGTGAAAAGGACTTTAAAACCTCTTCCCTGGATTGGAAATGTGCATCGCATACCATTTTACTAAACATGATCAAATAATCATAATCAACAAAACAAAATCAGCTTCAAACGCACAACAATAATAATCCCACATACCTAATTCTCTTCATTCACTCACGGGCACTTCGTCATATATAAAAACACAAAGCTAACACCTATAATCTCCAATATTGAGATTATTTCAGTCTTCACTCTGTTCGACCACACTACAACACTGAGCTGATGACCTGGAAAACCACTGCGAAGAGGCTTTTCTTTATTGTAAACGGAACTGTGTGCCTAAAACTGGTGAAGTCTAACCACAGCTAAACTAACACAATAACTCCACGTTAAGTGGCGCTTCTGAGAATTTAATGCTTGCAGGATACAATCACAAACTTCAGTAACCATGAAATGAAAAGAATGAAGTCCAAACATAAAAAAGGGGAAGTGAAAGGAGAAGGTGAAAGAAAATGTCTTTCGGCTGAAGTCTAACATCATCGGCCTGTGGTTGGATTTCAAACTGTTTTGAATACTTTTGATCAGGACTAAAATATCGCATGAAAATACATGTCAATGTCCAATCAAGATTCTATATTTGAGATGAGTTTTCTATTATCATTATTAATGTTCAGAATTCAGAAATGATGATTTTAGTGAATTATTTGGTTGACAGATGAAAAGTTCCTTTGTAGTCTGGGACAGATTTGCATTCACACTACAAATGATCGTGGAGTATATTTTCTCAAGTACATATAATGCTGACCAGATTCTTATGTATTTACTGTTAAATGAAGAAATGATGAACTACTGTTCAAAAGTTTAACATTAAAAAAAAAAAGAATAATCAATATAAGGAAAATATAAAAAAGGATGCATAGATTGCTAAATAAAATTGATTTATAATTTCTATTTATCAAATAATTTTCTATTCATCAAAAAATTCTAAACAGATGGATCGGTTTTTACAATGGTCTTTTACAATGGTCTTGGTTTATATAATATGAATAAATATATTTATATCTTATAAATATATTAAAAAGGTTGTTTTTAAATATAATAATATTAAATAATGTATAATAATTATCTATCAATTGAATTCCCATTCACACCAAGGATGATGATTATAAAAATAACGACAACTATAGAATTTTAATCTGTCAAAGTTTAAACTATTTGTTGTATTTTTGTCTTTTATTCCTTTTTTAAATGTCTATTTAGTTTTTCTTCAGTAAATGACTGTTTTAATAAACATTTTTATAGTTTTATTTTATTAAATAGAATATACCTGGTCCATCCTGCTTTAAAGAGAATTTCAACAGTTCACACATGGATATTGCTTGACGCTATAGACCCTTTTAACATTTCTGGGTTTCTCTGCAGCGGAAGTCATCATAGTTGGCAAAACCTAGCGCTGTGAATAGGAGAGTACATCAAATATTTTTTTTACAATCTTATTTGCTCAATTTATAAAAGAAAAACTCCACGACGGTGTTTTGAAGACTTTCAGAAAAAGGAAAATAATGTGAGAGTGATGACGACAGCCAAAGGAGAGAATAACGTCAAATTTACTGTCCGGTCCCGTTGACACTGCATTACTTGCACAAGCAGCCATTTGTTTTTTGTAATTTGAAGCAAAGACGATGTTATACAAACATAAAGGCATATAAATGCTCATACATTTTTAAAATATCTAAATATTAAAAACGTTCAAGGATTTAAGATGTTTTGGCATGCTGTCCCAGGAGAGAACCCTGAGAGCAGAGATAATTGAGCCCAGGGCTTCCGATTGGTCAACAAACTGCCTATAAAGGGGGTCCGAGATTAGGTAGGTCTTGAGACCTCCCCCTTGTTAAGGGAGGAAAAGGAGGAGATGGGGTGGAAGAGGGAATTCTTCCAAAATGAAAATAAGGTAGTAGGGGGAAATTGTTTTTTAAATTTTTTTTATGGCAAGCTTGAATCTGCTTAGATCTGATTTGATTATTGCTGATCACGTATGAGAGGCCTGCCGCCATCAGTCATATCACGTATTCCTTTCTAAATTTGTTTTAAACCTTCTCTTGAAATCATTTTTAAAAATGGACAACAAAACTGCAGAACAAAATAAGCAATGTTATTGTGCACTTTCATAGTGATTCAATTATAGCTGTTGTTTTTGGTGTGAATGGGCAGTAACTTTTAATGGTGTTCGATAAAGCAGTGTTTCTCCACCACGTTCCTGGAGGACCACCAACACTGCATGTTTTGGATGTCTTTGACACACCCATTACAGGTCTGTCAGTCAGTGTCTTTCGTTAAGGAAACATGTAAATGTGCAGAGCTGGTGGTCTGAACGTGGTTGAGAAACACTGTTTTAACTAACACCATTAAAAAAAAATCTTATCCATAAAAACACTTGAAACACTAATGTATAAAATCTTACTCGTAGAAAGACTGGCGTACAACAGGTAGAAGTGACAGCACAAAACATAAAGGCAATATACAAGGATCAGGTGACTGGAGATGTTTTTTAAAAAGAGGTAAACGGATGGACATGTTAAAAAGAGAAGAAATGGAGGCGATGAACAAGTGTATAAACATTAGTAGAGAGCCTCACCCAGCAGACTGAGACTCCGTCGAGGGGGAGGTGGAGGAGTGGGAGGATGAGGAGAGTTTCTTCCTCGCTGTGAGATGTCCACATCAACTAACGACACCGTCTCTCCTGCAACCAAAGCCAAAAAGCCACTTTAGGACAAGAGTCGTATCAATGACATCAGCAAACATTTGTTGCAATATTGCCTAAAATGCAACTAATTCTACTAACGTTTGCCCTCCATAATTTTAGCACTCTTGGTATACACGAACTAAAAGAAAAAGGCATTATTGTTTAACATTTTAATCATTTAGTTAAAAGATTTTTAAAAAATAAAATAAAAAAACATGCTCCCACTGGCTATGTTTACATGCACCCATACAATCCATTTGTAATCAGATTAATGGTTCAATCTAAAACATTCATTTAAACACTTTAATCGATCTGATTGAGCTCGATCTGAATGTATATTCAATTTGATTGGAAAGGTTGGTTCATTCCTTTTCTAATCTTATCCAATGGCAAAAAATTACCTTGTAAATGATCGAATCCAACTATTTTTTCGATTGCATTCAAACATCTCTAGAGCACATGTGCAGATACATTGGCCAGCGCATATTTTAAAAAATGCAGGATAAAGGATGTAAAACCACGAGCTGTTTATTTTCATTAGGTTGCTTAAAGCACTTTGTTTTAGAAATGTAACTTGAATATAGTTGTGTTAGCCCATAAATAATGTAATTAAATTCAAAAAAATAAAGTAGAAGAGACATATTAGTAATAAGAGATGAAACTACAAAAATCTGGAAAGAAATATTAAAATATCAAAATTATAAAAAAAGAGACAATGAAGATTATGAAAAAAAAATATGAATTTATGTATGTATGCATGTATGTATGTATGTTCTAGGAATGGGACAATGACTGGTTTCAAGGTTTACTGCGGTATGGAAAAGTCAAGGTTTTAAAACCGCAAGAAAATTCTGTTATACCATTCCTAAGGTATTTGAAAGGTTTTTTAATGTGTTTTATTTTAAATGTGTTCAAAAGAAATCCGTGTTTTTGAAACTAATGAAGATAGCGGAAGTCGATGACTTATTTTAAGTATTTAGCCTGACATGTTTGCAGTTCCAAATTATTATAAATATTTCCTAAAATTAAATGTATATTGTTCAACAAGAAAAAAGTTTATTTTATTTTTATTCAGACATTTAAAAAACATATTTTAGAGCAGTGATAATTAAGGTTATCATGCCGTCAGAAAAATTTACTGGCCCCTACCTAGTATGTACAGTAGTCAACATTTAAATTGGATCATAAAAGTATTTCAAGACTGTCCTAAAACAAGAATGGGTGTTGTTCAATTGATTTAGGAAAACATTGACGGAAGGTTTTGATCCACTTCAAATGTTGACTACTGTATATTGCAAATATAAATACAGTGCTCAGCCTATATAAGTACACCCCCCACAAATCTCTCATTTAAATTAACATTTTCTGTAGGATGCTTTACAATATTATATGTTTGCATAAACATAGATAAGTCAGCACTGAAGCCAAATATGGAGGCTGAATGTATATGTTAAGAAGAAATCTTAAATAACATTTCAGAAAATAACAAAAATCAATAAAAACAAAAAAACATACAATTTTGTTGCAATGTAGATTGTCATTTTATTGCAATATTTTGCATGAATTTTCCATTTCTAAAGATGTTCTGTGACTAAAATATTGTTTTAATAAATATATCTGTTTAATAAATCTGTTTTGTTCAAATGCACCAATTTATATTACCCATTTTCACTGAGAAATAGATACAAATATTCATTTTCAAAATGGGGTGAGCTCATTTATGCTGAGCACTGTATGTATGTATGTTTGTAAGTATGTATATATGTATGTATGTATGCATGTATGTATGTATTTATGAAGTATAAAGTAAGAGTTGCATGTATCAGTCTTGCATTCACTTAACTTAATTTGGGAAAAGGCCATTCATGACTATTACATTGTTTTATTATCAATGTGCATAATGAAAACACACATGCGGAATGGGCTTTTGGAATTCAACTTTTTGTATACATTGAAACAAATCTTTCTTAAATACAAAAGTTTTCGGTATCGAAATGTAAATATTGGCATCGGAATGTATACAAAACGCATTTAAGCAGATATTTAGATCAGATTACAATATTTATAATACATGTAAACAGATTCAACAAAATTGGTGCATGTAAACAGCCACACTGAGAACAAACCCAGCTAAAAAAAAAAAAAAAAAAAACTCCTCTATGAACTGGTATGAGTAGAGTATATTATCATCTTATTAATATTTTATCTATTTTAGTAAACCTGGGTGATAAGCAACATGAAATTGTTACGCCATGACTCCTTTTTACACTGGAGATACATATGAGGAAACACAGGTCAGACTTTCTCAGCTATTCGTCATAACGGGGAAATCCAAAGAATAGGGCTGTGACTTTAAGGTAAAAGGTTGTTGAGCATCACATAATGAGAAACAGCTATAAGAAAATGGTAAAAACACTGAAAATGTCCACTTCCACCATCAGGTTTTAAAAAATGAAGACATTTCAGCCAACTGGAGGTGTTATGAATTGTCCTGGAAGAGGATGAGTGTCTATTAGGGCTCTGCAATATGAAAATCGTATGAACAAAATAAAAAGCCTATCATTTCATATTATGCTCTATTTTTTATATTGTGGTGTCACAAAATACATTGTTTACAGTAATACTTTTTCATAATTTATATGAAACCAAGTTTACAGAATCTAGACAGAAACATTAATAACAGCATCATGAGAAAGTTGCAAACTTGAAAGATCAATGTTTACATTTCCATTTTATTCAGCAATATGTTATGTTGGACCTGCAGTCGTTTATTTTTTTTTTAAAGTGTTTTATATGTAATCCATATTTATTTAACTTTTTTTAATTCTTTATTAAACATTTGCCCTGAAGTTCTTAATAAAATGAGAAATATGATCATATGAATAAGTGTATATGTTTTTTTGGAGTATATACTTCAAAATGTAAAAAAGAAAGAATGAATGATTTACATCACAGGTGTCAAACTCAGTTCCAAAAGGGCCGCAGCTCTGCACAGTTTAGTTCCAACCCTAATTAAACATAACTGATCAAACTAATTGAGTCCTTCAGGCTTGTTTGAAACCTACAGGTAAGTGTGTTGGATTAGGGTTGGAACTAAACTGTGCAGGGCTTCGGCCCTCCAGAAATTGAGTTTGACACCCCTGATTTACATGGTCAATAACCTATTAATAAACTATAATAATCTATAATATAATATACAATAATCTATTAATTGATTGAATTTACAGTGACTGTAAACTGTAAATTATATGTTGTGATATGAGATTTTTGTTATATTGCCCAGCCCTAATGTCAGTCTTTGCCAAACTGTTAGGAGGATGGTTCAAGTGGCCAAACAAAATTTCTAAGAGTCAAAGCTGTGTCTTAGGGTCAGAAAGTTACATAAACTACAATCCAATGTCACCTACATCACCACTAATAGTTTAAAAAAGTTTCAATACAAAAGTCTAGACTCTCATTCAAAAACAAGCATCTTCAGTTTATATATACACAGTGCCTATAGAAAATCATCATACCCCTTTGAAATACTTTATTTACATCCTGAAATCAAATCATATTCCAAACAACTTTTCAAGACTTTGACATTTTACCATTTTCCTAACCTGTGCCTTTCTACAACTTTATCCTGAAAGCCTTTTGAAAGCAGGGTGTAATGTGAGTAATGGTATAGATTTTCACAGGGTGTCATGATTTTCGATAGGCCTAGTAAATATTTTATAAGCAAAAAAGTTACACAATTAGGACATCTTTCCCAGCCTTCTTCGTTCATATTTACCAAGGATGCCAATATTAGTAGAGGGCACTATATTTCATTGTGTGAGCTCTTAATGTGTCGGCATTTAATGTATTTCAAGGAATATTTCAGCTTCCACCCGTATTGTGTTTTCTTAAATTTTTATTTACCTGTGAAAACTGGAGTAAAAGAGGCTGCAGAGAAAGCACTTTGTGCCCTTGTTAGTCCAGGTTGGCTGCAGAAAAAGAATAATCATTTTTGATATTATACTTGGAGAAAGACAACACACTCATTACATTAGTTCTGTATCATTAGTTTATCATACTATTAGTTTCATACATTCAAAGTACATACATGATCCTAATTTAAATGTCTTACTGCTCATTCAGAGGGTGCACTCACCTGTGATCCTTGGGACAAATTGAAAACTATTCCAAAGCATTATTTTTAAAGCATAAAAGGTATAAGAGGGGTATAAGAGGACCATTTTAACATTCAATCACAAGAAAAATGTGGAAAACCGATGTAAATTAATGCATCTTAGGACAACAGACATGATGTTTTTATTTCAAGGATTACCTGTCAGCATTGAAAATGCAAATCAGCAGGTTTATCCATCACACAGTTGCTTAAATATATCTGTGGCTGTTGTGTGTGTGGCTGAGCATTAGACACTCAGTCATTCTTCCACATTGTAGATGTTGTCAAAACTCGAGCTTTTTGTTTTCTAGTTGTACATATTGAAGGGTAGTTTAAATTGCTACGAAAATGCTACAAATAATAGGCATAATAATAATAATAATAATTATTATTATTATTATTATTATTCTGTTCTAACCAATAGTTGGTTAACCAAAAGCTTAAAAGGTATTTGTTCTCTTTAATATCTTTTTTTTTTTTTTGTAAAACTACAACAAACAGGGGAAAAGTATGTACTGTACATATTCACATTTACTAACATTTTCCATTTAACCAGCGGTACAAATTTGCTAATGTACATAGTTTTTGTTCAAATCTTAATAAGCATATGAAGAAAATCTATTAAATGAGTCAATTTGAATCGAATATTAGCAAAATTATCATATTTGTTACACCACCAGCATAATGTCTAAGCCATTACAGAATTACACCTGTATTTTGTTGTTGAAATTTCTTTATGGCTTATAGAACTAATAATCCAATGAACCTTAAATATTTTTTAAATATATATAGAACTTTAGAAAAAATAGAGCACTTACTGAGATATTTCAATGTGTATATCAACCACCAGATATAGTCTGCATGTCCGTTACTCTCTACTACACATTGAGGGAAACCGAAAGTTAAACTAATCCTAAAACTAAAAGTAAAATAAATGCCCAGTAGGTGGTGAGTCAAAACCACAAGTGGCTATATGCGACTGCACAACATTGATTGTGCATGGTTCAAAAATATACGTTTTGTTGGGCTGGATCCTTTTCATGCCAGTTGAGGAGGAGGGGGCTGTAAATGCCCCTGTGGGTCAGCAATTTGAGATCCCTGGTTTAAAGAGTCCCATGGCATGAATTGTGTTTTACACTAGTAGAAATAAAGGTGCACAAGGTGTCACCTGGGTGATACCTTTTCAAAGGGTACACTTTAGCAGTTATAGGCTGTGATATGTACACTTTAGTTACTAATATGCATCTTTAAAGGAATAGTTCAATGAAAATTGGTATTTGCCCAATATTTATTCACCCTCAAGTGGTTCCAAACCTTTGTGTTTCTTTATTCGGTTTTGCATAAAGTTTTTGAAGTCAGTTATTATTCAAAATGTCTTCTTTTGTTTTTAGTTGAATAAAGCAAGTCAAACAGGTTTGAAACAAGTGAAACACGAGTAAACAATGACAGAACTTTCAGTTTTGGTTGAACTATCTCTTTAAAGTACCACTGTTGTGCCCTTTAGGTACAAATGTGCACCTTTTAAAAAGGTACAACCACAGTGACACAATTCATGTTGAAAAGACAAACTTGCATTAAAAAGGTGTTCATATTATGGGAAATGTTAAATATGTCAAATTTAAAACTGCACAAAAACAGTGGTCAAAGGACATAAAATGTTCTATAATAATATCTTTTTACTATGCCAATCCGCTTGTTAAGTGTGACATCACACGAAGCGGCTTCCGGGTCCAAGCGCTCTATTCATCTGAATGGGGAGACACATGAAATGGTAATAATAAACGTTTACAAAGCGATTTAAGGCTTACGAAAATCACGATCGCGGTATATATGTCCATGCCTAATATCCGATGGCCAGAAAGTGGTTAATTTTTTTATAAATTGTTAAATTTTTGGTATTTGTTATGCAGCAAGCCCAGAGATTGTTGTGTACACTATAATGTTATATAAAATTAACTTTAATGTGTGATAGGAATAAAACGTGATCATAAACGAATGATTTCTCCACTCAAATGAATGGCGGCTTGGACCTGGAAACAGTATTACATACGTCACAAACACGTCACCACTTAACAAGCAGATAATGTAAAATATGTCCTTAAGCACTTTACGATGGATATTTCGAAAGCGGTTATTTTGTTATAGCAAATTAAGATGTCTATTGTTTACTTTTTGAAAGAAAAACAGTGCTTTGGGGGAAAATGCTGTCATAGCAATGGCCTTTAAGGGAAATAATTGTACTTTATCCTTATTAATATGCACCTGTTAGGGGTGGATTTGGTACACAGTTGTTTCTTTGAATGTACTGCTCCAGTGGCAAGCTGTACTAGACTGTAAAACATGATTTTTCAAAGCTGTAAACAACACCAAAGTTCACAGTTTATTCCTCATATTTTTACTAAATGTACATTTTAATACAATGTATTTCAAAACTACAATTATTGATAGTATTTTGCTTAGTTTATATGACAGTGTATAAGACTTTGTAACAAATGACACACAAATTAGAAACAATCTGTGCTTTAGGTTACCAGTCACGAAGTTTATCACATTCACGATTCAAAACAGTACTTTTTAAAAGAAGTTTTTAAATAATCACTTTGCTTTGAAATTCACATTTGAGATGAGTGTGTGTGGTTTAATTTGGTATGGAAGAAAACATATACAAATGTTACCCTTGAATATTTTAACTAAAATTATTGGAAATCATAAGCTTCTCTAAAAACCCAAATAAATATGTTATTGAAAAGATCAAATATAAAGCTGCAAAGAAATTAAGATATTAGATTTACTGTTTATGTGTGTGTGTAATTGTTTTATTTTACAACATTTTGTTTGTTTGCAGAAAATGTGTCAAAATAACCAATGTTTTCATTTATTGTGATTTAGTATAAGGGTCATTTCTATACATATTGATTTCTTAACATAAAACTGAAGTTTTTACTTTAGATAAGTTGTATAGAAACAAACAGCATCTTTTTGTTATTTTGACAGATTGTCATTTTATGCTCTAAATGACAACATTTAGTTATTTTAATATAAATGTAGAATAAATGTCATAAGTAGTTTGCAGCACAAAACAAAACCTGTTTAACTCAAACACATAACAATAAATCATTAGATTTTAAAAAGTAATATATGATCTCTTAGATTTTATTCCCCCCAAAGCTATATTATTATATTATTTATGTCTTATATGATCTATTTATGAGAAAAATTACTTTTAAAATGCAGTTTCAACCATGCTTGTTTTGGCAGAAGACTCACCTGCTCGTGTCTTGTTCTCCACCGATAGCTCCAGACATGTCAACTAAACTTCCCGCAGAGGATATGGAGAACGTGACTGAAGGTCTCTTGTCCAAAAGGTTGTTAGAGCCACTACAGCTTTTAGTTCTGAAAAGTTTACTGAGTCGGATTTTAAGCGAGCCCTTCCTGGATTTCCCTGGTACTTTTAGAGTCTTCTCTCCCCCGCTCGCTGCGGAAAGATGCGCCCGGCTCGAACTCCGGGCCTTCGGCGTGGACGCCTGGCTGGAGCATGGCGTCTCCTGGCTGGGTTCGGCTTGGGAAATCACCTCGGGAGTCAGTTTGTCAGCGGCGGGAGCCTGAGGCCTGTTGTTTACAGAGTCTCGCAACAAGCAACACGTCGGCGAGCAAAGTCCCCCGGACACCCCCATAGCTTGCCCGGACAGAACCGAGGGGAAACACTTTAGCGCAAACGCGCCGGGCTCCGTGGTCTGGGACTCGGGCTTCTGACAGGCGTTGATGCCCAGGCCGTTCACCTCCTCTGACCCGAGGCCCTCCAGCACCAGCAAAGCATCGCTGGTCTCGGTCGGGTCCTCTCCCTGCCGCATCCCCGCCGAGCCCAGCACGCTTTGACAGGAGCAGTGCTGCAGCTCGCCATCCTTGAGCAGAAATTCGGGTACGGGAGCAACTCCCAGCTCGCCGAATTTCCTCGCGAGCTCCAGAACTGGACCTTCGGGGAGCTGGAGCTGCCGCTGCACTGTCATCGAGCTCGTTTTGTGCTCCACAACCGGCGGCCAGTCCTGTTGGTCTGTGATCAAGCGATGCCGGTGGCAGAGCTCGCCTCCATCCGTATCCGTAGCAACCGCTGGCAGTTTGAGCTGTGGATGCAGCGTCCATGTAGGCGGATGCTGAGCGTCCACAGCGCCGGACTCGGAAGCGAGTAGCGCTTGGTCCTCAAAAGCCCTGCGCTGATCCTCCGACTTGTTCTCGGAAAATCCTTCAGAGTCTCTCGATATGTTTCTGAATACCAACAGCTGAGGCCCCATTCCACCTCGGTGGGTGAGATCGTACCCGTGGGCCTCGGCTGAATGGAGAGGAGGCGGCGGCACAGACAGCGCAGGTCTGGTCGCCATCACTCCCGCGTCAGGTGCCTCCGTTCCGCTGGCCTGCGGAGCTTTGTTCACGGCCGAGATAATGCCGTGATTCTGCGTGCATTCAAAGTTCCCCTTGATAGCCACTGTCAGTCCAGTGCCCGACGACAGATTCCCATTCTCCTCGTCCAAGCGGTCATCCTCGGCCGCGGAGACCAGGCGCATCAAGACAAAATCGGGAGACATATCTTGCGCGTTGTTCATTATTATTCCTCAATATACTGAAGGAATGAGCGATATCGGCGTTTCACATTGCTCCAGTCATGAGATCTCGGTTGTGTGATGATGGTGATGATGGTAATCCTCTTGGTGTTAGTTAGCCCCCTCACACAGCGCCAGACAATTAGTGCATATAAACTCTATTTCAGTCGCTCCTTCAACATTGCGCACGTCCTCGTCTCATTTCGCGTCCGGCCTTAAAAATCTCAACGGGTCTTTGTAGGGTCATACATAACGCTTCGTTTCACGCAATCCTAACGGCGTCTGTGGTCACATTACTGTCGAGGCCCCACCCGCCCGCTCACTTCCGCAAATTCGATGCGTTTCGTGTTTGGTCTTATCGGTGCCATTGCTGTCCACTTGGCTGCAGGCTATGTGCTGTCCCCCTTAGTGACGTGCACCGTGCTGTAATGTTGCTTTCATGTCATTTAGCGCGCTGTTGTCTGGAAGATGGCCTGGCCAACTGATGTTTTATGGTGCATCAATTGCAATTGCATCGCCTTTCAGACGAACGAAACTATTCTTGCATTACGAGTGAAAGACGATTTGCTTTTGCACGATATCATTATTTCTCTGACGACTCTCATTTTGACATGCTGAAATTAAAGCATCATGCCTAACGCAATGTTCATAAATGCACCCAGAATTATGCGTAAAATGTGTATTTTATTATAGACATGTAAACAAAATAACTTAATGATTTATTATCATTAAACATGACACGGGCTGTTTTAGACAATATATCTATGCAAATAGAAAATTTTCAGCATTTAAACGAAAGATTATTTTTAAAAAACTTCTTTCTTCATTTATATGTTAATCTGTAATGAATCAGCAGCAATAATTATTTTACCACTTTGCTAAAACACATTACATAATATGGAAATATACATATTTTAAAATAACTGCACATGATAATGCTCATAGATGCCTATAGAGAGAGAATACAGTTATTGTTTACATTCACCCATTGTTCTGTGGTCAAGACTTTTCATTTGCTATGTATTAGTGAAATGCAATTTCATTGATGGACCGAACGGTGTCGCTATACACAAACATTTGCACATGTTCACAGAGCCCTTTAAAACCTGCCATCTCATAACACAAAGAGTTTATGAATTTTATTACAGTCATGGGTTACGCAAATATCCAGCAGAAAATGTGTCTTCACAGTAGGCTATGTTATCTGAGAGTTATCACATGCATTCAAAACATCATCTCTAATTAAACACACACAAAGCGGTTGGACACTGCTTAGCACTCAAACAAATACACATATATTCATCCATGAAAACCACTGACACAGTTTTGTTTTGATAACTGTCCATGTCTGTGTGTGGATGCACATATGTACAGGGGCACACAAGCAGCCACAGCCTCTGCAGTCCTGAATGGGGGTGGGGCCCCACAGGAATGAGTGTTGAATCTCAGAGCCCTGTTGCCATGGCACCAAAACAAGGATTCGCCTGCATTACCCAGTATGACTGGATTTGTCTGAATCATCTTTCTCTCTCTTGCACACACATATCATTGACAGACGTTAATTCATGTAGTACACATGTGCAACATGTTTTTTTCTTCTTCTTTATTTGTCTAACTCCCCTCCTCTACAAAATGCTATCAGAGTTCTATCAGAGATTAACATTGCACTTCATCTGCCAAGCAGATGCAGACTTGCATGCACATGTTCACAGATGCACAAAGTAGCACATACATACACAGTCCATAAAAGACCACTCATGACTGACCCAGCCGGTGAGTGTTGGGTTAATCCACAAAGCGGTGAGATTCTGATGCATACCCCAACAGAGAGGATTACCCTCCCATCCTCTCATCCATCAGCCCATCCTCATGCACATGCACTCATCATAACAATCCAACATTAACAGATGTGCCTCTCTCAGCACTCACCACTACCGGGAGATTGGGAGAGGGAGCGAGAGAGATGGGAGAGAGGGAGAGATTTAGACTGCAGAGTGTGTGAAGAGGTGAGCGGAGTGAGAACCAGGGGTATTCCACATGTTGTCGGTTTCTAGTTGATCTCTGTTTCTCTCTTCAGTTTCTTGATGAATAATTAACTCCACACAGGCTGGAGATCCAAGTCTTCATGGTCCCGGACAGTATCACATGCAGGGTGGACACGATCAGCTTATTTCAGGACGCATAGAACTCTGAGTGTTACCTCTCTACCCTCTTGAGCTTCATCTTCAGCTTTGAAAACCAGTGTTCGTGTATGAGTGCACACTTATTTTGCGAGTGAGGCACTTTTGGGAAAGCAAGGAAAAAGGAAAAAATGGAGGCCTGCGTTTTGAAAGCGTCTTTCAGGACGTGACAAAGCGCCAAGCTGATCCTTTCCGTTGTAAAAAGCTTTGGAGAAGCAGTTGCTAAAAGTATGGGCCCATCTGCTGGTGTGCTACCACTACTTCTGCTGCTGCCTAGACTACTTTGTGCTCAGCTCAGCACCGTGTCTGAACTCAAGGACACATCCAGCTTGGAGTTCACCCCAACACCTTTTCTGACTGACCCAAATATCACCGCAGGAAAAGGTTTGTCTCCTAGCCCCCAAGCCACCAGTCTACCTCCTGTAACAGTGGAGGACCGATCCGCTGCAGAAAGCTACCTCTACAATGGCGATTCGTCCTCCTTGGCTGCCTCTACCTGCACACGAACTTTCCAGCTGCCCGTTCGGCGAGGACCTCCACCTCGAGACCTTCTCCCTCTTTTGCACCAAGCCATAGCATCTCTGACAAATGCTGCCAACTTTCTCAACCTCATATTCCAAGCTAGTGAGCTGAGAGAAACCAGTGTACGAGAGGATATAGAGTGGTACCATGCACTAGTCCGGACTATGCTTGAAGGGGATCGGCCAGGCTTGGTCAGACGAGCTTTTCTAACATTCGACGCCGACCCAACAATCCAACAGCCCCAGTTGGTGCTCCGTGCCTCCAAAGGCACAACCCAAGACATTCTCCTGCAGGACCTCACATCTGCCTGGACCAGCTTCCGTCCTCCTGCCCCTGACCAAAGCTGGTTTGATATATTCAAGTCTAGCTCTCCGCCCCTCCATGCCTTGTCTAAACGGGTTCTTCTAAATGACCTAAGCACCCTAGACACTCCCAAGTGGGCACGTGGGGACAGTTATGTGATCAATAGCAGTGGGGTTCAGTGGGGTGAAGGTCCTTTCCTTGAGTGTGTTGATGGCCGTTTTTTGCCAGGGTGGTTACTTAGCCTTTCAATGCCATTTTATGGGTTGAAGCCAGACCTCAGCCCAGAGTTCAGGTCAGTACAATTTCTTTAACTTCTTGTCTAAATGGTTGCTCATTTGTGTACTCAAAATGCCTTTTAAAACTGTATGTGTCCTCCTATAGGGATAGTTCATTGAAGAATGGACATTCTGTCATCACTTTTTTTTTACTACCTTAATTTAGTCTGTGGAGTACAAAATAACACATTTCAAAGAGTGTTTCAATGTTTTTGCCCATACAAGGAGAGTTAATGAGGTCTAAATTTACCCCATTGGACTCCAATGACTTCCACTCTAGACAAAAAAAAGAAAGTAAGTAATTAGGTTTGCAAAGACATGAGAGTAAGTAAAATAAAATTAAAATAATGTCCATTTTGGGTAGGCTATCCCATTAATTTAATTACTTATTTTAAGTTTACTACAAGTATTGTTACTTTTTTGCTTCTCTTTGTGTTCTGGTGATAGGGGTGTGATTCGTGTCGACGTCAACATCCAGGGATTTAGCGTGGATCAATGTGCCACTGGAGATTTCTGGTTCGCAAACACACACCAGTGTAATCGGACCAGCATGGAGGTAAGAGTCTACTGACCTCAGGCTGACTTCCTGTTGGTCTACAAATGGTCATGATGTCAGCGTTATTAAGTTTTATTAAAATTCTGGCAAAATTAATTTCTAAATATTACTTAACAGGAATGAAAAATGAAGTCAGTTCTCATCATCATGTAGTTCCAATCTCCTTTTGTGGAATACTAGTTTATATAGAAACTAGTTTATATAGAAACCATATTGTAGTTAATACAGTTTATTTGTTTAATTATAGCTAATGCAGCAAATAATATCAATCATTTACAATTATTTAAGAATAAAAAACATAATCTGGGTATTTAATATGTTATTAAAAGATGCTAAACATAATTTCATTGTCATTCAAGAAATGACTAGATGTAATGCTCTTATTCATATTGTCAGGATGAAAAGTTAGCACCATCTGGAAGAAGAAACAGACAGAGTTTTAATCTACAATTATTACAATAGTACTTTATAGGCCATATGTTCAGAGGATGAATTTCATTAACCAAAGGACAAGCAGTGGCAAAGCACATTTAGAGATCATTTAAAACGCTTGACTAAATTGGTGGTGAATTGATTTTTTTTTTTTCTCTTTGAGCATGCTTGATTCTCCACTGTATTGTAGCCGTTAGGTTAGCTTTAGAATTTAGTTATCGACTTTGATCTCTTTTATTCTGTAAATTACACAACAATTTGCTTTGGATTCAAATTATTTATAAACTGCCACTGTACACTGTAAAAAATCTGTAATTTTACGGTTATTTCTGGCAGCTGGGGTGCAGAAAAAAAAGTAAAATAAAGGTCGTTAAATTACATAAATTTACGGTAAAATAGCAGACATTAAATTACAGAAATGTACTATAATTTAAATTTCTGGTAAATTTCTATAATTCAACCTCTGTTATTTTACAGTCAATTTCTGTAATATGACGGCCTTTATTTAATTTTTTTTCCAGCACCCCAGCTGCCGAACATAAACCGTAAAATTACTTATTTTGTTTTACAGTGTATACAAAGTCATGTTGAGTGATAGTTCACCCAAAATTCCTCAATTCTGCATATCCAAAGGACAGACATACAAGATATCTGTGTTCCACTAAAAAAAGAAAAATGACAATTTATTTGTTATTGTTTTAGTGGGAAGTCCTTTTCAATATTTTTCAGTTCATGTTTATTTACAGTTGCACTTTTACAATGTAGATTGTCAAAGCAGCTTAACATAGACGTTCTAGTACATTGAAACTGTGTCAGTCCAGTTTTCAGTTCAGTTTAGTTCATTTCAGTGTGATTTAAATTTTACTGCTGAAAGTCCAAACACTGAAAAGCAAATCCATTGATGCACAGCCAAGCAATCCAGTGGTGACAGTTGCGACTTTTAACTTTAATACTACATGTTTCATGTCTCTCTCACTCTCTCACTCTTTACATTATTAAGCTTAATACATCACCTGCTTCACTCTTTAAATTGCTGGCCTGTTATATACATTTTCCATTTCCTGTTCCCACTGTTTTCCATCATCATCCTCCCACTTTCATCCAGACCTTCTATTTAAAGATGTGAGCACTGGGTGCAGGATGATCTGAAGGATTAGACTGATAATCCTGTGATGCTCACATACACAACCCCCCACCACCAACCCACCCAACTCTGACCCCCAAACATAGAGCAGAAGCTCTACACCACCCACCCCCAAGACTCAGACAACCCCCTCCCCACCCCCCTCATCCTGACCTACCAGAGCACAAACTCACAGGTGTTGACAGGTTAAACAACGGCAGGATTTGGCACACTGAACGAATTTAATGAGAATTGACTTGATCCGCCTATAAATGAAAGGAGCAGAGTATTAATAGAACCCTTTTTGTGGCATGATGATGCATCATTGTATGAAATATTAATTTGACATGATGTATGATATATTTACATGGGTATTTAAAGAAAAAGTTGACTCAAAAATGAAAATTTTGGTGTCATATATTCACCATGAAGTGGTTTTAAACTTTTATGAACTTCTTTTTTTCCTGATGAACACAAAATACAGCATGTTGAAGGATGTTAGAAACCAGTAGACAAATGACTGTGCAAGTCATTGGCAATAAGTTACCAACACTTTTTAATTTATTCTACTCAATAGCTTTTCATGTATTTCAGTAAAGTACAGATACAAAAATGAGTGTTAGTTTAACTAAAGAGTTACTGTAATACTAGTTTACAGTTTACACATATTCTATGTAATTACTACAGTAATAACAACGAATCATGCACAATTACATGCAACCAATCATACACAACTTTCTTATTGTAAACCTAACCATAAAATAAGTACATATAGTTAACTAATTATATGTAGTAACAATACAGAATAACTGGGACTTCACAAAAAAAATATGTAAAATTTACATTAAAAAAGGCAGCTGTGGTTGCCAGAACGTTACCGCATAAAATATGGTAGAAACCATTAAAGAATTTTCCATAATTTTTAATTAAATTGCCGTATTTCATTTTTTTTACAGTATTATACACCAGTGTTTTGAAGTACAAACATCGACATGTCATATCTTTGTTACACAGACAAAAACAACACATGATGAATCAATTCTTATATCAAACAACTTTTCCCACAATCAGAGACAAACTGATATAGAGGAGACACCAAGGACTCTATTTTAACGATCTAAGATCAAAGTCTAAAGCACATGGTGCAAAAGCATTAATGGCATGTCCGAATCGACCTTTGCTATTTTAAGGATGGAAAAAGACCTGGTGCATGGTCTAACAGGGTTATGTTTATTCTATTAATGAGTTATGGATGTGTTTTGAGCACAATGTGCATTAAACCAATCAGAGTCTCATTTCCTATTCCCCTTAAGAGTCCTTGCGTCGTGCCATGGTTCATTTGCTATTTACAAAGTGGACTTTGTAAGTGGAAAAACTGAACGCTTTACAGACCATCAGTGCAAGGATAAAGAATAAGCTTCTTCCATTCTGCCTCTTTACTTTCTCTTTACTTTACTTTTAATCTTTACTCCTGTACTTTTGTGGATAAGGAAACGGTGCTGTACGCACTCCACCGAAGACATCCATTAGCCTACATATTTAATTTGGTTTGTGAAGCTCAAAGATTTGCTTCAAAACGATTTCTAAATTCAGCTCTAATTTCCAGCAAACGAATGAATAAACAATAACAATGAAGTTTGGTAAAAAAGTTGTCCAAACACACATCCTATTCTTATACCCCATATGGTGATGCATTCATCTCCAAAACCCAACAGGTAGACAAATCTTAACTTGTTTTAATTAAAACAAATATAAATATGCATAAAGGCGTCATGGTGGCGCAGTGGGTAGCACGATCGCCTCACAACAAGAAGGTCGCTGATTCAAGCCCCGGCTGGGTCAGTTGGCATTTCTGTGCAGAGTTTGCATGTTCTCCCCGTGTTTGCATGGACTTCCACCGGGTGCTTTGGTTCCCCCACAGTCCAAAGGCATGCGCTATAAGTGAATTGAATAAGCTAAACTGGCCGTAGAGTATGTGTGTGAATACAAGAGTGTATGTATTCCAGTGTTGGGTTGTGACTGGAAGGGCATCCGCTGCCTATAACATATGCTGGTGATTGGTGGTTCATTCCATTGTGGCGACCCCTGAGTAATAAAGAAACTGAGCCGAAAAGAAAACATAAATAAATATACATATAATGAATAATACTGCTAATAGTATACAAACTGAACTTTAGACCAGCTTTTGTCGATGGTGCAATCTATTTCAGTTTCTCAAAATAGCAACTTGTCAACAATACTTAACGCACCTCCTTCATAGACCGGCACACCCGAGTCCACAAAGTGGCACAAATGGATTCGCTATTTAAACAACGTAGTGCAAAACATGAAAAATACATTCGCTCTGGTGTGAATATAGCAACAAATTGCACCATATACATCTTGCGACTTGCGCCAGCTGTATGATAGGGCCCTTAGTGTCTTTAACACAACTAAACATCATGGCAACACACATAGAATTAAAATTATCCCATAAAACATTATTTTTCAACATTCAAAATTTTAATGTGCATCACTGATAAGAGAAACAAAAAAGAAGCACAGTGATTTCAACATAAACGCATAAAAAGTGAAGTGTCATGCAGGGAATCCTGCAGTCATTTTACTGTTAACCAGATTACAGATTTTCACTGTAGCATTTTTACAGTTCTTTTTTAACCATTGAAATTACGGTTATTTTTTACATTAATTTCGCAACTGCACTTGTTTAAACAAACTAATAACAAATATTCCTCAAACATGTATTAATATTATTAGAAATGTCAACATTTATAAGATAAATAAATCTAAACTTGTGTCCGTTAATATAAACTAACATTTAATAAAGATTTAATGATGATAGTTGTACTTTAATATATTTTTACTATATATAAAAAAACAGTAACAAATATATCACAAATATCTAGTTAATGTTATCCACTGCATTAACTAATGTAAACTGATGGGACCTTATTGCAATGTTTACAATTTAGTAGATATAATCTATATTATTAAAAACTTTGTGAAGTATTTTATATTAATAAACATTAAAAAGGTAATATTTAATGTAACTAATGAATTGATTCTTGCTTGTTGTGACTTCACTAACATTAACCAATCTTATTGTAAGATAAAGTGTTACACATCATGAAACAAATATATATAGTCATACAAAGTTTAATGTACATATTCCGCACCTTTTAGGAATTAGTATTGTCTATTGAATATAAAAGTAGATATTTTGAAGAATGTTTTAGAAACCTGTAACAATTCACTTCTGTAGTAGGAAAAAAATATATATGGTAGTACGTAGGCACCGCTTTGCAACATTCTTCGAAATATCATCTTTTGTGTTCAACAGGAGAAAAAAAAGGCCGGTTTAGGGATGAGTAATATTTGTTGACAATAATGTAATTTTTTGGCTGAACTATCCATTTTTGTGTCTCGTCCTGATTGAATAATGATAAAACCTGAAAACAACATAAAAATGTATGTGGACAGTGATGGATTTCCTTGAATAAAAAGATCAAGCTCTGCCAATAGAGGTATTACCCTTCCATTTAGGATTTAGCTTAGATTAACTCAGAGTGAGTCTGATGTGTGGGTCAGCCGACTCTCAGATAAACCGCTGATGAGAGACTGCACATGCAATTAATGGCAGAAAGCTGAGAGCACACCATCATCATCACAGAGCCGCTGGCAGCTCATTCCCCCTTTCTAGGAGCAACACTTTTCTTTACTGATGAAGGTAAAGCAGATGACAGACAAAAGTGCATGACTTTTCTTTTCTCTTTTTCTCCCAGTGTGAGCCCATTCCACAACAGGGCTTCCGGATGGGTCAGTACTGCTGCCGATGTAAAAAGGGCTACTACAGTCCAATCTCAGACATACAGAACAAAAGTAAGGAATCAATTGCATCCAAGAAATCACTCCACGTTTCTGCAAGAATAATTGAAAGACTCAAGACTTTTAATATGCTTTTTAAAATGTTTTTTTTTTACATAAAACTTACTGTAAGAAATGTTGGGTTCCACACAAACGATTTGTTAGGTTAACTTATTCGCTGAACATAAAACAATCAAGTTTATTACCTTACATTATCAATAAAATAAATACCTCGGTTTTGATTGTTTTAGTGTATTTCAAACTTTCATTGTTTTGACCATTTTGGCCCTTAATGATAAATCATTGGTTTACAGTCGGTTAAGACTTGTTTTATTATATAGTTAACATGATGCTTTTTAATCAAGGGCAAATTTAGTTATTTGGAGCCCTATAAGTAATTCCAGCCATTAGGCCCAACAGTCCTACTATGCATTACTAATAAGTATTTTTATTTATTTTATTTGTATTTTTGTGTCGTCTTCCTATATCACTCACTCGTCTTTTTTACATTTATTTTTCTTAAAATTAAATCTATTTTTTAATAATACACTTTCGTTGTGGAAGACCAATTTGCACAAACATACAATTATAGAAAAATTTCACGTTTTGTAAGACTCTGGCTACATTATTTTTACACACACACACACACACACACACACACACACACACACACACACACACATAGTTGAAGTCAGATTTTTTAGCCCCCCTTTGATTGATTAATTTATTATTATTATTATTTATTTAAATTTTTTTTTTCATTTTTAAATGTTTCCTAAATGCTGTTTAACAAGGACATTTTCACAGTATGTCTGGTAATTTTTTTTTTCTGGAGAAAGTCTTATTTGCTTTATTACGGCTAGATTAAAAGCAGTTTTTAATTTTTATAAACCATTTTAAGGTCAAAATTATTAGGCCCTTTTAAGCTATTTTTTTTTTTCGATAGTCACAATAACTTGCCTAATTACCATAACCTGCCTAGTTAACCTAATTAACCTAGTTAAGCCTTTAAATGTCACTTTAAGCTGTAAAGAAGTGTCTTGAAAAATATTTAGTCAAATATTATTTACTGTCATCAGGGCAAAAATAAAATAAATCAGTTATTAGAGATGAGTTATTAAAACTATTATTTTTAGATATGTGTTGAAAAGTCTTCTTTCTGTTAAAGAGAAATTGGGGAAAAAAATAAACAAAGGGTCTAATAATTCAGGGGGGCTAATAATTCTGACTTTAACTGTATAATATACAGATATAATTTATACTTCTAGGTATTTATTGGGCCCCCTCAAATTTCCAGGGGGCTTAAGTGGCTGCTTACCTACTTATGGGTTAAATCTGCCCCTGCTGTTAATAGTATATAGTAATATCTAATATACAATGTAGTAATATAGTATATGATAATAAGAAAGGCAACAAACATGCTTTAACATGTTTGTTTTTGTAAATTTTTGTGTTTTTTTTCTGTTTGGTATTTCCAATAACAGTTCTTTTCAATAAGAACGAATACTTTTCTAGTTATAATTTACTGGATTAAAAAGTAATAAAAGTACTTTTTACAATAAGATTACCTGATGTATATAATAAATCAGAATGTAAATATTTAAAAAAATATTCCTTAAAAAATAATTTATGACATTTTAAAACTTTCATGACCTACCAGGTCTAGAAATTACACTTTTATATTCCCTCATATATTTATGATTTCTTGGTTTGGTTTGGACAGTCTTGGACTGTCTTGGTTTTTCAGTGCAAAAAAAATTGGTGAAAAGAGTCAATAAAATATGGTAAATGATGATTTGTCATTTGTGCAATATATATCATTCAATAATGAGAACCACTAGCTTTATTATATTATATTATATTATATTATATTATATTATATTATATTATATTATATTATATTATATTATATTATATTATATTAGGGTGATGCAGTGGCGCAGTAGGTAGTGCTGTCGCCTTACAGCAAGAAGGTTGCTGGTTCAAACCTCGGCTCAGTTGGCGTTTCTGTGGAGTTTGCATGTTCTCCCTGATTTTGTGTGGGTTTCCCACGGGTGCTCCGGTTTCCCCCACAGTCCAAAGACATGCGGCACAGGTGAATTTTGTAGGCTAAATTGTCCGTAGTGTATGAGTGTGTGTGTAGATGTTTCACAGAGATGGGTTGCGGCTGGAAGGGCATCCGCTGTGTAAAAACGTGCTGGATAAGTTGGTGGTTCATTCCCCTGCGGCGAACATGGATTAATAATGAGACTAAGCTGACAAGAAAATGAATGAATTAATAAACATATTATATTATATTATATTATATTATATTATATTATATTATATTATATTATATTATATTATATTATATTATATGTATATAAAACAATTGAATATAAACAGGCTGTAAACAAACTTTGAAGCATTTATATACTAATCTATAATGCATCATTAATTACACTGTAGGATTGTTGTAGGTGAAAGTAATGTGTATAACATTTAAATCCAAAACAGCAAAGAACAGCAAATGATGATATATCTTGTTCCAGGGAACAACCGTGAGAATAACACCCAAGCTTGTTACCCAGAAGTCCCTGTGTGTGTGCCGTGCTGGCCCGGCTGTGCTGAATGTGAGGATGGAGCCCCGTGTTGGGTGCAGGAGGACTGGCTCCTGAGGACGGCTGTTCTGGCTGTGCAGGGCCTCTTCATGATCCTTGTGCTAATCAGCATGCTGGTGGCATATCAGTGCAGAAAAACCAAGGTCAGTTTTCAGAACATAATTAATTAATATAGAGAAAATATGGCATCGTTTAAAGGGGCTATACTGTATGTAGAATTCAGAAATTGTTGGTATTAGTCACACTGTTGCCCATTAGGTGAACCACAGACAGAAATTTGTTGCTTAAAGCTACAAAAAGTTTTCAGGTTTAAAATGACTTGATATTAATTTTGGGCAAGTACATAACCAGCCAGTGTTCAAAGCCGTAACCCCATTCAAAAACATTGAGCTTGGAACAATTCTATTTGAGTGGCACCTGTTTCCACAGGAAATATGGGCTTGTTGCCATTCGTCTTTGCAACAATACACAATGTACACTCAACAGCTTACAAGTACCAGGTTAGACCCTTATTACATTCACAACTGCTTTAATCCTTTGTGGCATAGATTCAACAAGGCACTGTAAATATTCCTCGGAGATTTTGGTCTATATTGATATGATAGCCTCACGCAGTTGCTGCAGATTTGCCAGCTGCACATCAATGATGTGAATCTCCCGTTCCACCACATGCCAAAGGTGCTCTATTGGATTGAGTTCTGGTGAATGTGGAGGCCATTTGAGAACAGTGAACTCATTGTCATGTTCAAGAAACCAGTCTGAGATGATTCCCCCTTTATGACATGGTGCATTTTCCTGGAAGTAGCCATCAGAAGATATAGGGATATCATAAAGGGATGGACATGGTCAGCAACAATACTCAGGTAGGCTGTGGCATTGGCACAATGTTTAATTGGTACTAATGGACCCAAAGTGTGCCAAGAAATGTGCCCCACACCATTACACCGCCACCAACAGCCTGAACCATTGATAGAAAGCAGGATGGATTCATGTTTTCATTTTGTGAACGCCAAATTCTGACTCTACCATTGAATGTCGCATCAGCAATCGAGACTCTTTAGGCAACGTTTTTCCTATCTTCTATTGTCCAGTTTTGGTTAGCCTGTAGGAATTGTAGCGTCAGTTTTCTGTTCTTAGCTGACAGGAGTGACAACCGGTGTGGTCTTCTGCTGCTGTAGCCCATCCACCTCAAGGTTGGACGTGTTGTGCATTCAGAGATCCTCTCGGTTATATCCAGTGGTTATTTGAGTTTCTGTTGTCTTTCTATTAGCTCGAACCAGTCTGGCCATTCTCCTCTGACCTCTAGCATCAACAAGGTATTTGCCTTGATCTGTCACTCACTGGATATTTTCTTATTTTCGGACCATTCTCTGTAAACCCCTAGAGATGGTTGTGTGTGGAAAAACCCAGTAGATCAGCAGTTTCTGAAATACTCAGTCCAGACCGTCTGGCACCAACAACCATGCCACATTCAAAGTCACTTAAATCACCTTCCTTCCCCATTCTGATGCTTTTCCAACAAGCAGTTGGAAAGGTGTAATTAATAAAGTGTGTATGTATGTTTATATACAGAAGTTCTGGCTTTCATTGCCAAGTTCATTGCCTTTTATCACAGCGGCTGGAATTAAATTGTAAATTGTTAAAGAGATCAAGCTATAATCAACTTTAATTTGATTTTTGGGTTCAAAGAACAACTTCCTTACATGAAGTTAAAGATTAAACTGTAGACATATTGAAATCAACATGTAATGCTAATATGTTTTTAATTCATCCTGATGTCAACAGTTTTAAAACAAAGCATTTTCTCAGTTTGAAAAAAAGAAAAATCAATCAATCGGAACAAAACACTGTGACGATCCACATGGGATCATTAATATTTGATTCGAAACAACATTTCTTTGTGAGATTACAACAATGATAATTTTTTCCCATATTTTTACGTTTATCTAAGATTGTATTAAACATTGCACATTGTAATATGTAAACAGTGCCTATAGGAAATCATCATACCTTGTGAAAATCTATACCATTACTCACATTATACCCTGCTTTCAAAAGACCTTTAGGATAAAGTTGTAGAAAGGCACAGTTTTAAACACAGATGCCCAAAGTAAGGCCTATGAGCCAAAGTTGGCCCATTGTAACATTTGATTTGTCCCACCATCCCAACTTAGAGGATTGTGAGAATGATGGGGAGGTTTGGGGCGAATGCCATTAACACAGAGAACGTCATTATGAAACGGAAATTAAATAATTAAATCTTGTAAATGAATCAGATTGTTTAAAATAGAAATACTGTCAATTCAACAGAGCTATGCAGAAGACATTGGCAAGCAAGTCACGGCAAAAACTACTGTAATTCTGTTATAAATGAGATTGTTTTGTTTTTACTGTCATAAGTTCATTATAAAATGTAAAAAAAATACTGGATTAGTTAATATAAAGCCATGTTTTCTTGTCATTTTTAAATATTATCAAATAAATTTGGAATTTACCCATGGCAACTATATTTACCTTCGGCCCACTAGCCTTATTCAAGTTTAGATTTTGGCCCTTCATAAGAAAAAGTTTGGACACCCCTGGTTTAGAAGAAGGCTGCAAAATCATTTCAAGACTGGGACAGTTATTATAGTTTGATTTGATTGCAGGCTGCATGACAAATAAAGTCATTAATTCAAATGGGTATGATGATTTTCTATAAACACTATGGGCTCTATTTTGACGATCCATGCGCAAAACGCAGGGCGCAAATGCTTTCAGGGCGTGTCAGGACGCGTTTTTGCTAATTTAAGGACGGGAAATTTGCCTTGCGCTTCGGCGCATGGTTTAAAAGGGTTGAGTTTATTTTCTTAATGAGTTATAGGTGTGTTTTAAGAATAAACCAATAAGAGTCTCATCTCCCATTACCTTTAAGAGTCAGCTGCGTCGCGCCAAGAGCGCATTCGCTATTTACAGGACGTAAAGTAAGTCTAAGTGGAAAAAAAAATGAGCATTTCACAAGCAAACAGTTAACAGTTTTTTAACAGAAAACTGTTAAACAGAGCATCTACTGCGTGAGAATGAGAGATAATGGATCACTTTCACATTCGCTCTTGGATAGGGAAACCTTTACGCACAGACAACAATTAGTCTATAAATAAATAATTTTGTTTGTTAAGCGCAAATATTCGTTTCAAAACTATTTCTAAATTCAGTTCTAATTTCCAGCAAATGAATAAATGAATAATAATAGCAAAATGTGCTCAAAAACCTGAGTTATATCCTAAAACACATGCTTTGCCCCATATGGTCTAAAACCTGACAGGTGGGCAAATCTAAGCTTGTTTTTAATAAAACAAATATAAATATGGATATAATAAATAATACTGCTAATAATAACATTATACAAAAGCAAATTGTTATGAATGAACTAAATAAACCTCTCGAGATGAAGAAAACATAAAAGCAGTGGTTTTTCATATTTATGTAGGCTAGAAAATAATATGTTTTGTAATATTTTAATCCTTTATATTTATATACTATATCTATTCTTATTATATCCTATATATATCCTTAATATTTAATTTTTTTCATATGTAAAGATATTTGCCTGTTGCTCTCTTGTGTGAATTAAGCAGTGCTTAAGCGAGGCGCAACTCTGCGCCGGAGTTTAGACCGGGTTAGTTTTGGTCTAATGAAAAATCTATTATAGATTCTCAAAATAGCAACGCGCCAGCAGTCCGCCTCAGAACGCCTTCCTTTTTAGACCAGCACGCCTATGGGCGCACAAATGAGCGCTAATGCATTTGCTATTTAAACAGCCTAGCGCAACGCCTCAAAACGACTCTTGCGCCAAGCTTAAACTACCAAAAGACTACTGCGTAACGCCTTGCGCCACACTGCGCCGGGTGTATGATAGGACCCTATATGTGGGACTATTATTTTGAAAAGGATTAGGCAAGGAGAGTAAAGGAGCAGTTCTGTAAAACATCTGTTCACAGCTAGTCAGAACACAGAATAAATGGATTCTAAATTTATCCAGTGCCACCGCAAAGATGTATAAAGCATTTTAAAAGCATCTTTTGTTATATTATTGTATATATTGAGAAATTTGTCTTATAGGTTTGTAATGAGGCAACAAACACATGTAACTGCTGAGTATAAGTGTTTAATGCACGTTTATGCATTGTGTAATATCACCTAACTCTTACTGTAATTTTACTTGAGTTAAAGAACAGCAATGAACATAATCTGTTTATGCAGAGGTTGATAATAATACCTGTCGGTGCTTTCATATATGTTAGATACACAAACACTCCAAATACACCTCTGTCAGCCCTTTTTTCGCATATAATTATAAATTAAACCACCTTTTTTCACAACATATACCTCAATATCAATAGCGTGTCACTGCAGAGCTCATTAGTATTCACAACTTTTCCAAATATGGTCAAACCCTAACTTTTTTATTTTAGACCAGAGGTCTCAAAATCAATTCCTGGAGGGCCGCAGCTATGTAAAGTTTTGCTCCAACCCTTAATCAAACAGTTTATGCAACTAATCAAGGTGTTCGAGACTCTTTTGATATTTACCTACTATGTAAATATCAGAGAACAATTTAACTTATTAAATGCACTCTATGGCACCTAAAATCATGTATGAAGCACAATTTTTATTTTATATTCTTATAAAAAATCTTATGTTTGTAAAATTGTCAAGACGTAGAATCTCTCACTCAACTACAGTATTCACATTGCATTAGGTTAGATTCAATAGATTCAACTCCACTGAACATACGCACTGACCCTCAACCCACGTAAAGAATATGCTTCTAAAAACAACTAGAATTGCACATTCAAAACAGAGATGGCAACAAAAGAGGCACAACTTAGAGACTGCATGTTTAAAGGGACAGTTCACCCCAAACTATTTAATAAACTCAGCATTTACTCACCATCAAGTGGTTTCAACACTTTAAGAGTTTCTTTTTTTCTGTTGAATACAGTGGAAGATATTTTATAAAATGTTAGAAACCTGTAACCATTGACTTTCATGGTAGGATAAACGAATAATGTAGAAGTTTAATAGTTACAGGTTTCACAAGTTTTATGCAATTTCCAATTTTTTTTTTAATTCCTTGTGTGTAAAACAGAAGAAAGAAACTCAAACAGGTTTGTGACATCTGAAGGGTAAGTAAAAGATGACAGAATCTTCAGTTTTGGGTGAACTATCCCTTTAATGTACTGAAGATTAAACGTGATTAAAGCTATTTATTTAAAGTTATTTGAAGTGGATATGCCGTTTGAGCTGCTGAGATGAAATACATTTTTCAAGCTTTTATTTTAAGTTTTTTTAAGTACAACAGAAAAAACAAGCAACATTGTCTCAATATACACACTTTGCAGGTAAATATAATATAAATCACCATACATGTAGGTTCAGCTGTTGGAGATACAAAATAGTGTTACAGAGTATGTAGTCATTAAAAAGTCGGTCACACTTTACAATAAGGTTCATTAGTTAATGTTAATTAATGCATTTACTAACATGAACAAATAATGAACAATACATCTACTACTGCAGTGGTTCTCAAACTGTGGTACGTGTACCACTAGTGGTACACAGGCTTCCTTCTAGTGGTACACGGAGGAATGAAATAGGCCTAGTACATGCTATACACATTTCAAAATTTATCAAAAATGATGTATATAATCTGCCATATATGACATATAGCCTATATATCCGAGGTAATCTGCAATGTTTTTTAACTTTGCAGAGTTGTAGCTGCTTTACTGGGCCTACTACCCTACTGTATTTCAATACTGCTAATTTTGGTGGTACTTGGAGAGACAGTTTTTTTTCTGAGGTGGTACTTGATGAAAAAAATTTGAGAACCACTGTACTACTTTATTTGTTCATGTTAGTTAACGTTATTTAATGAAAATACAGTTGTTCATTGTTAGTTTATGTTAACTCATGGTGCATTAACTAATGTTAACAAACATGGACTTGGATGTCAATAATGCATTAGTAAATGTTCAATTATGATTAATAAATGCTGTACATGTGTTGTTCATGATTAGTTCATGTTAGTAAATGCCTGAACCTTATTGTAAAGTGTTACCAAAAAGTCCTATAAGGTAGTGCACCAGTCAGTTTTCATGAGGGATGCTGGATTTGGATTGAGCACGTTTCAGGTCTAAGTGTGCGAGAAAGAATTTTTCGTTAGAATCGGACCTCACAAATCGGAGCTTTTCCAAGTGGATAATGGAGGCCATATCCACTAACCAGATTTAAAAGGAAGGAAGATGAAATGAATTTAGATGAATTTGTAAATATGTGCTTAAGTGTTTTTCTTTCAATAATAAAATAAAAACATAGAAATGACAACAGAAATGACAGCAGTGAGAAAACAGCAGTAATATACACTTTAAAACACCAGTTCATAAAAAGTTATTAGAATGTGTGATTTACAGGTGTTTTCGTTTATTTACAGTTATGAATTGCATCATGGGACCTTCTCTGTTGACTTTTAAAAATGAAAATTCAACTGTGCAGTTAAATTTTTGTGACTTTAATTGACATTTTAGTATAGTGTCAAGATATATTGTTTAAGGAATGCATATAAGTGACTATATTACTGTCAGTTTATTATCTGTTATTTTAACTGTAATGTACAACACCAATACAGACAATATTTCACTTCAAGCTATAAAATTTCCATAAAATGTACTATTTACAGCTTTTCAACATCACAAGCTTTTGGGGGAAAGATCAAGGTTTCATAATGCAGTTCAAAAGCATAAATATAAAAAAACCATGATTTACAAAATAATAATACTGCTAATTTATGGATATTTTTAACCTGTATTTATGTCAAGCTTTGCAACTAGCCTGCATTCTCTCAACAGATGTGGTCATTAAAAGTCGAATGTTATGATTTAATTATATGGATCTGGCTGTGTAAAACTATAGACTAGAGATATTATCAAACTCTTTGCATGTCAGAAAGACATTACAGTACAGAATGTTTTTTTTTCAGCTTTATCCTTAATGTTATAAGTATGAAATGGAAATCAATGGATGAAAGGCTCTCATGGGCATGCGTAAAGGACGCACGGTGGCTCAGTGGTTAGCACTGTCACAGCAAGAAGGTTGCTTGTTCGAGCCCCGGCGAGGCCAGTTGGCATTTCTGTGTGGAGTTTGCATGTTCTCCCTGTGTTGGCGTGGGTTTCCTCTGGGTGTTACGATAGTGTATGTGTGTGCATGACTGTGTATGGATGTTTCCTAGTACTGGGTTGCAGCTGAAAGGGCATCCACTGTGTTAAACATAAGTTGGATAAGTTGGCGGTTCAATCTACTGTGGCGATACCTGATGAATAAAGTGACTAAGCCGAAGGAAATTGAATGAATGAATGAAATGTCTCCAGTCTTTTGCATACAAATCTGTCTGCATAGACCAGTGGTCACCAAACTTGTTCCTGGAGGGCCGGTGTCCTGCAGATTTTAGCTCCAACCCTAATCAAACACACCTGAACAAGCTAATCAAGTACTTGCTAGGTATACTTGAAACATCCAGGCAGGTGTGTTTAGGCAAGTTGGAGCTAAACCCTGCAGGGACACCGGCCCTCCAGGACCAGGATTGGTGAACCCTGGCATAGACTATCATAGACAACCTAGGAAGCTGGTGAAGGTCTCATTTAAATAATGCCATTATTGGAATTTAGAATTGATTAAACAAATGTTCTCTTGAATATAAATCATATAGTGTAATAGTGTAAAAAATAGCAGGTGTCAGCGTCATTTTTAAAAATACTAAACACATTCCTATAAGCTTTACTGTATGCTAAATATCCAAATAAAAATAATCTGATAATTTGCATCTACTTTACTAAGATAGTTCACCCTAAATTGTTAATAACATTTATTCCTCCTTTACTTGTTTCAGACCTTTTTTCTTCCATTAAACCCAAACAGTTTTTGTTGATTTACAAAAAATCTAACAAACAATCCTATTGTACTACAACACTTTTTTGTTTTTGGTTTTATTGTAAAAAAACCAAGATATGTTAAATGAGAGTCTGAAATATTTTATGGCATATTTTAAAAAATAATTTAAGTGATTTAGTAATCACAAATGTTTTATTTTGATAATTGTTGTAATTGTAAAATAAACTGGTCATCACTTCATATTTTCAGATTTTTCATAGTATATGTATTAATTCCGGTACTTTTACCATAAACCAACATATCAGCCATTTGGTAGAAGCTGATATTTAAAAGATTCTAGGAATTGTTAAAAAATGCATTGTGTTAACTAGCAACATTAAGAGTTAATAAATGCAATCCAAAAATAGTTTTCTTGGTGGGGCAGTTAAATGGTTAAATCATTTAGTTCAGAAAGATCAAAAGTAAAATAAATGCAATTTGTATGTATAAGGAAACTCTAAAGATACAAATATGTGTGAAATTAAATCAAACTAATTCTTTCTGTTATTCTTTAAATCCTAAAATGCTTAATCTCGTAACTGACCAGTTCATGAACAAACGTTTTCCTTTATTGTGTTGCCTTAAAATAGAACATTCCAGAATGCCATATGGTACTATAATACAATAAAACGCACTGGTCCTCTAAGACTAATCTTTTTTTACTCTATTTATATATATATTCCTTTTAGAAAATCTAGCTTAATCTGTTGTTCTACCAATAAAACTCTTTAATATAAATAAATATATAATCTCTCTATACTGTATATGAGTTGTGTAGTGCATTAGACTTTGCAGTAGGAATTGTGCGGTGGGAATTGTCATACTATTTACATACTGTTGTCCCTTTTTTTTTTTTTTTTGCTTTGTTGCTTTGTTTCTTTTGGTAAATGTAAAAATATAAAAACAAACAAATATCAATAGGGGGCACGGTGGTGCAGTGGTTAGCGTTGCTGCCTCACAGCAAGAAGGTTTCTGGTTTGAGTCCTGGCTCTCCATGTTGGCATGGGTGTCCTCCGGGTGCTACAGTTTCCCCCACAGTCCAAACACATGCACTGTAGGTGAATTGGATGAGCTAAATTGGCCGTAGTGTATGAGTGTGTGAATGTGAGTGTGTATGGGTTACTGGGTTGCAACCAGAAGGGCATCCGTTGTGTAAAACATATGTCGGAATAGCCACCCCTGATAAATAAGGGACTAAGCAAAATGCCTGAACATCAATACATTATTTCAAACACACTTCAGGTCTCATATGTGTACAAATGTCAGTAATTTTACCTCTGCTTCGCCTTTCCACTTCTCACCTCTCCTTCTCTCTTTTTTATGCCTCTCAGCGGATCCGATCATCAGGGCTTTTGCTGCTGGAGATGATCCTGTGTGGCTCTCTGTTGCTTTACTTCCCAGTGAGTGTGTGATTCAAATCTTCTTTTCAGATTACGTTCACTGCAGCTCAAACCATAATAGCTGAGTGGCACTTTAGAGGCAGAAAATGATCAAGAAAATTACACAATTTATGGCTGCTGGCACGCTAAGCAACTGCAATGACAAAATGATATCAAGTTAAATATGCTAGCTATGATATACAGTTGAAGACAAAATTATTAGCCCTCCTGTGAAATGTTGATTATATTTGAATTATTTCCCAAATGATGTTTAACAGAGCAAAGTGTTTTTTCCACTATTTATTTCCAATTGAATGTTTTTTTTATTTTTTTTGGAGTAAGTCCTATTTCTTTTAGTCTGGCTGGAATAAATATTTTGTCTTCATTTGTAAATATGGTAGCTTGCTAATGTTGCACACCACACACACATACACTACCTGACAAAAGTCTTGTCGTCAATCCCAGTTGTTAGATCAACAAATAACTTGACTTCTAGTGGATCATTTAGAGAAGTGGCAGAAGGCAGATTTTTCTGATTTAATCATCTGTTTAACTACATCTCAATCATGCCAAATTCAGCAGAAGGTCTATTGGAACCCTCATGGACCCAAGATTCTTATAGAAATCAGTCAAGTTTGGTGATGATAAAATCAGGGTTTGGTTTTACATTCAGTATGGGGGGCGCATAAGAGATCTACAGCCTGGGGTTTCAAGACATTTGTATTTACATTACAAACTACAGGAGAGGGCAAATTCTTCAGGAGGATAGCACTCCTTCTAATAGTTCAGCCTCCACATCAAAGTTCCTGAAAGCAAAGAAGGTCAAGGTGCTCCTGGATTGGCCAGCCCAGTCACCAGAAATGAACATTATTGAGCATATCTGGGGTAAGATAAAGGAGACATTAAAGATAAAATCCAAATCATAAGTCTGGCAAGAACACTTTATTTGTCACTTCAGATGACTTGATTAATAAGTTATTTGAGTCATTGCAGAGATGTATGGATGCAGTCCTCCAAGCTGATGGGAGTCAAACACAATATTAATTTTTTTCCACTGCACCATGATTTTATATTCTATACTGTACATTATTTCTGTTAAGTGACAAGACATTTGTCTAAGCAAAGTCAAACCTTACTGTCCTAATTAAACAATTAAAAATCAAGGCATGAACATATTTTAATTTGGTAAAATAAGTCTAATCTAGAGGCCTTTGCCTTTCATATAAGCCACTTCTAATACCAAATGATTAACCAGAAGTCAAGTTATTATTTTTTTGTTTTTAAAACTTGGATAGGTGACAAGACTTTTGTCAGGTAGAGTACAACATGATAGTGTCTTACATTGTTTACTTTTATTTTAACTTTTTATCTAGTATACTTATTATGTATATATTATTTACAGTGCATTCGGAAAGTATTTATAGCGCTTCACTTTTTCCACATATCTTTGTTACAGCTTTATTCCAAAATTGATTAAATCAATTAACAATGTGAAAAGATTTTTTTTTAATTGTTGCAAATTTATTTAAAATAAAATAACTGAAAAAAAATCACATGTACATGAGTATTCACAGCCTTTGCTCAATACTTTGTTAATGCACTTTTGGCAGCAATTACAGCCTCACGTCTTTTTGAATAAGATGCCTCAAGCTTGGCACACCTGTCTTTGGGAATTTTTGCCCATTCCTCTTTACAGTACCTCTCAAGCTCTATCAGGTTGGATGAGAAGTGACGGTGTAAGCTATTTTTAGATTTCTCCAGAGATGTTCAATAGGATTTAGGTCTTGGCTCTAGCTAGGCCACTCAAGGACATTCACCGTGTTGTTGTGGCTGTGTGCTTTGGGTCATTGTCCTGCTGGAAGATGAACCGTTGCCCCAGTCTGAGGTCAAGAGCACTCTGGTTTTTATTTGAGATATCTCTACATTGCTGCATTCATCTTTCCCTCTAGCCTGGCCAGTCTTCGTTTTCATGCTGCTAAAAAACATCCCTACAGCATAATGCTGCCACCATGCTTCACTGTAGGGATGGTATTAGCCTGGTGATAAGCGGTGCCTGGTTTTCTCCAAACATAACGCCTGGCATTCACTCCAAAGAGTTCAATTTTAGTCTCATCAGACCAGAGAATTTTGTTTCTTATGATCCTCCAGATGCCTCCTGTCTGGCCACTCTACCGTAAAGGCCTGATTGGTGGATTACTGCACAGATGGTTGTCCTTCTGTAATGTTCTCCTCTCTCCACAGAAGAGCGCTGAAGCTTAAACAGAGTGACCATCGGGTTATTGATCACCTCCCTGACTAAGACCATTTTCCCCTGATCACTGACCTTAGATTATCGGCCAGCTCTAGAAAGAGTCCTGGTAGAGATAAAGGCCACAGGGCTCATTGGAACTTTCAGTGCAGCAGAAATTTTTCTCTAACCTTCCCCAGCCTTATGCCTCGAGACAATCCTGTCTTGGAGGTCTACAGATTATTCCTTTGTCTTCATGCTTGGTTTGTGCTTTGACATGCACTGTCATCCTGGTCCCTGGGAAAGGTGTATGCCTTGGAAAGGTGTATGCCTTTTCAAATCATGTCCAATCAACTGAATTTACCACAGGTGAACTCTAATTAATTGAATTTTCCAGCATTTACTCTAGTATTTAGGTTGATAATATCCTTCAGAAATCATTGCAATCCTAATTTAGTAACTGTGAAATGTTTTCTATTAATATCAATATTGTTGTTGCTGCTTAATATTTTTCCTTAAATCTATGAATCTGTTGGAATCTATTTTTCCAGGATTCTGAATATAAAGTACTGCATTTATTTTTACTAGCAACATCATATCATCATTTTTCTTTTGCTAAAAAAAAGTAAATATATATATATATATTTTTTTTTAGCAAAAAAAAAATTATGATATGATTATACCATGGAATGTTGTGATCGACCGACCAATCAGAATTAAGCATGCTTGTGAGCAGTTTAAAAGTATTTAATAATATTAGAATACTTCAGGGGAAAGAAAATCAATCAAATTCACTCTTGTTTTTTTTTTTTTGTTTTTTTTTTTTAACATTTTGATTTTAAACAAAGCCTGAGATCCAACCAACAAAAAGTGTAAAATACAATAAAAACAGTAATATTGTACTAATAAATACAAAATCAGAATTGAAACATAAATGATACTGTCTCTCTCATATTTAATCAAAATTGTAAAATAAAAATTTTAACTGGCACCATTTATTTTGGCTGTGGTGTATTCCAAACTAACAATGTCCAGTAGATAGAGCCTCCAGGATAGATCAGTTTGTGCAGATGGATCCAGCCATAGTTTCAGGTTTTTTTTTCCAACTTACAGAATCTTTTTTTGGTTGATGGATAAGTAGAGTGATGAATCATCCTTGAAATTGCTCTCTTGAAGAAACACCCCACTTTTTTGCACTTACAAGCCCCATAGAGTTAAACAGTTGAGTTATACCAATTCTGAATCCATTAGGCCAATCTCCCAGTCTGGCAGGAGCATTTTTAACTTGGAATAAATCATTGAATCCGATTAGACTATTAGCATCTTGCGAAAACAAATCATTATAATCAAGGATTTTTGCATAATAAGCAACTTTGCTGTCGTACCGTGCCTGCAGCAGGTGCAATGATATAATGCAACACCTGAAAATAGGTAGCTAGATAACTAGGTAACCTGCTGCAGCCATGGTATGGCAGCAAAGTACATTGATTATTACACTGGAATTAAGGTATACTTCCTAGCCATATCGGCCTAGAAAATGGAAACTTTCCATTTTCCATTGTCTTCGTACACAAGAGTCAAGCTTTAAATAAATACTTAAAACTCTTTTTGTTTGAGTGAGAAGCTAATGGTCTAATCTGATTAAATTATGTATGCTACGCTAAGCTAAAAGTACTCACACCAGACATTAAAATAGCTAATGAATAAAAAAAATTGTTAAATTCAACTGTTTAACTCGATGGAGCTGTAAAATTAGTCTATTAAAAGTGAAGTGTTCCTTTAATGACCCAAACTTTGTGCATTTACATCTAATAATTTTGTTTGCAGGTTTTCATTCTGTACTTCAAGCCCAGCACTTTCCGGTGTATTCTCCTCCGTTGGGTTCGTCTGCTTGGTTTTGCCATTGTTTATGGAACTGTGGCACTCAAGATGTACCGGTGTGTGTAACACTTCAGTCCTGTCATCTCAAATTCATCAAACTCAGCCCTCCTTTCTAACTGTGTCACCTGTGCATCTGTCAGATTCAGTGTTGTGGAATAAGAAACTATTCTTAAAACATTCAAAGATGCACTCACGAGTAACATTTTTGTGGTATTTATGCCATTTTAAACTGTTTGATGATATATAATCCAAAATGTGACCAAAATTGTTAGAAACTTCAAACATTTGAATGCTAGTATAGTTTACCAAAGCATTCTGTGCACTTAGATACATGTAATCAATCAATTTACAACTAAAAAGGGATGGCTACCAGGATATCTACATACAGAGTAAAAGGTGTTTATTTAATTTATTTTTAAAAAGGGAATAATTTAGTTGCCTTACAAGTGACAAATTGACTTAACTTAAAATGTGTAAACCAATGGGGTATATGCACACAGACTTTTAATTTCATTCAGCCAGTCCCAGGGCTTCTGGTTAATTGTCATCCCATACTAAATCACGGTGTTTAAGATCTGATTTCTTTAAAACAACAGCGATCTTATACGATATAAAGTGGTTATCAGACCAAACAAGAAGCACTGCATTCAATTATATTTTTCCATGCCATGTCTTTAAAAAATACTGGGGTAAATTTAATTTCCGTATTATAATGAAATTTCTGCGGTGGCCTGCAGCTAATGATGGTGCCTGTATTTCAAACAGTCTTTCGTCTCCTTTTATGATTTAACAACCAAATGGATGCTTACTGTAAGTCTATTTAACTGATCAGATTTTAATTACATTACAACATCAATGCTGTAAAAGGAACCTGATGAAATTGTAAACAGTCTCATAAAGCTTTCACCGGAAGTTTATCATTGGCTAAAAAAACATTAGCTGTGCATATAGCCCATTGTAACTTGACACTGTTTAGTTTACTTAAATTTAATAATTAAGCACATACAGTGGGGATCGAAAGTTTGGGCACCCCAGGTAAAAATTTGAATTAATGTGCGTAAAGAAGCCAAGGAAAGATGGAAAAATCTTCAAAAGGCATCAAATTACAGATTAGACATTCCTTTAATATGTCAAAAAAAGTTAGATTTTATTTCCATCATTTACACTTTCAAAATAACAGAAAACAAAATAATGGCGTCTGCAAAAGTTTGGGCACCCTGCAGAGTTTATAGCATGCACTGCCCCCTTTGGAAATCTGAGACCTGACAGTGTCATGGATTGTTCTCAATCATCGTCAGCAAAGACCAAGTGATGTCAATCTTAAAGGTTTTAAATGCCCAAACTCATCCAACTCATCTGACCTTGCCCCAACAATCAGCATCATGGGTTCTTCTAAGCAGTTGTCTAGAAAACTGAAACTGAAAATAGTTGATGCTCACAAAAAAGGGAAAAGGCTATAAGACGATAGCAAAGCGTATTCAGATGCCAATCTCATCTGTACGGAATGTAATTAAGAAATGGCAGTCATCAGGAACAGTTGAAGTTAAAGCAAGATCTGGAAGACCAAGAAAAATATCAGACAGAACAGCTCGCAGGATTGTGAGAAAAACAAGTCAAAACCCACGTTTGACTGCACAATCCCTCCAGAAAGATCTGGCAGACACTGGAACTGTGGTACACTATTCCACTTTAAAGAGATACTTGTACAAATATGGTCTTCATGGAGTCATCAGAAGAAAACCTCTTTTACGTCCTCACCACAAAAAAACAGCGTTTGAACTTTGCAAATGAACATATAGACAAGCCTGATACATTTTGGAAACAAGTTCTGTGGACCGATGAGGTTAAAATAGAACTTTTTGGCCGGAATGAGCAAAGGTACGTTTGGAGAAGAAAGGGCACAAAATTTAATGAAAAAAACCTCTGTCCAACTGTTAAGCATGGAGGTGGTTCAGTCATGCTTTGGGCTTTTATTGCAGCCAGTGGCACAGGGAACATTTCACGAGTAGAAAGAGAAATGAATTCAATAAAATTTCAGCAAATTTTGGATGGTAACTTGATGCCACCTGTAAAAAAGCTAAAGTTAAAGAGAGGATGGCTCCTACAAATGGATAATGATCCTAAACACACCTCAAAATCCACAATGGATTACATCAAGAGATGTAAACTGAAGGTTTTGCCATGGCCTTCACAATCTCCTGACCTCAACATTATTGAAAATCTATGGATAGACCTTTAAAGAGCAGTGCATGACAGACAGCCCAGAAATCTCAAAGAACTGAAAGACTTTTGTAAGAAAGAATGGGCAAAGATACCTCAAACAAGAATTGAAAGACTCTTGACTGGCTACAAAAAGCGTTTACAAGCTGTGATACTTGCCAAAGGGGGCAGTACAAGATTTTAACTCTGCAGGGTGCCCAAACTTTTGCAGACGCCATTTTTTTGTTTTCTGTTATTTTGAAAGTGTAAATGATGGAAATAAAATCTAACTTTTTTGACATATTAAAAGAATGTCTAATCTGTAAGTTGATGCCTTCTGGAGATTTTTCCATCTTTCCTTGGCTTCTTTATGCACATTAATACAAATTTTTACCTGGGGTGCCCAAACTTTCGATCCCCACTGTAGTTCATTTACGTAATCACCTTTTAAAGTAATGTCAACTAATCATTTAAAAAGCTAAGCATTTACTCAATTTTTCTGAGTAAAATCAACTATTTCCTTTTAACAGTGTGTTGGCCCCATGATTTGACCTCAGAGCAAAAACTTCCTCCTGGTCAATGACAAACCAAAGGGTCTTTCAATTGTCAGCACAATAAAAGTTTAAAACAGATTAATTTTATTATCATACATTAGAGTAAGTTTGGTTTAAATACACATTAAAAATCACTGTATTTTGTATTTTATATGCGTTGTACTTACAAAAAAGTTATAAAGTACTTTTTCAAAATGTACACTTTTGTATTTTTATGTACTAATATGTACACTTTAGGTACTAAAATATAGATTCTTTAAAATAGTAAATTTTAATTCTGTAATTAATATTAATTATTAACCCTTCCAACTCCTGAGACTTTTATTCATTTTTGGAAAACAAATTAAATTAAATATTTTAGATGAGCTCTTTGACCCTCTATAGACAGCAATGATCATGGGATGTTCAAAGTCCAGAAAAGGAACCAAAAACATTGTCAAAACATTGCATGTGACTTCAGCGATTTAGCTGTACATCATACGATTCTCAGAGAGAATGTTTTACACTTGAAAAAGTACCTATATCTTCTCTCCTACGTCAGGGGATCGTTTACTAAAAGCTCTGGTATATTTCAAACATAATCAAAGAATGAACTGATCCTGCCAAATCGTTTCGGCAGTTTGAAACTGCTCACCAAAGCAAACCTTTGGGAAGTTCGTTTTGGCTCCTAAATTCCTTCTAGCTACCATTGGTCTGTGACAATTATGCAGTCTGTGGGTGTGTTCTGGAACTTTACCTTCTTTGACGTGCAATTTGTCTTCCCTCGATTTGTTTCTCATTCCACTAGGGTTGAACAGCATTCAAAACAACAACACTAGCCAGATGAATACACTGGAGAGTCAAGTAGCAGAGCTGGTACAGATATATCCGCACCTGTAATATTGCTTATAGAAAGACTTTATTTGTTTAATTTAAGGATATGGCACACAGTGGTAGCACTTCCCGTTATGTACTAGATGTTTACAAAACTCTTTTAGCTGCCATTTTGTGTTTAGGGGTATACCTGAGCAGCTCAAATAAAGAAAGAATAAACATGTACTCTGAAATGCAGGGCCTTAATGCCAATTTTGCTATATTGCCATTCGACTCAACAGTGCTACGTGCAAGTGTCCTATTTCCCGTAGTAAACACACATCCTGACCTGACACAGGTGCTTTGTCAAGTGCTTTGAGCTAGTCAAATGGAATGTTTCTTTTGTGGATGGAGGGTTCTTATGTTGTCTATGGAGGGTCAGAGAGCTCTCAGAATTCATCGAAAATATTTTAATTTTTGTTCCATTGATGAACAAAGCCCTCAATGGATTGGAAAACCATGAGGGTGAATATTTAATAACATAAGATTTTTGTACAAACAGACCTTTTGAAAAGGTACTGAAACGGTGACAACTTTTCTACACTGAAAAAAATGCTGAGTTCAACACAATTGATTTGAATTGGGACAACATGAAGAAATTAAGCTAGCTCATTAATTTTTATACATTTAAGTGAACTGAACTTCAAACAATTAAGTTGTTCCCAAAAAAACTTAAAGAACTGTGTTGTTTCAGCTCATTTTAAATAAGTTATATGAACAAACAGCAAATGTCATTTTATTCATCACGATTTAGAAACGTAATTTAACTCTAATTAAAGCAGTCGACCACAATATAAAATCTGACATGTGCTGTTTGTTTAAAATACTTCATTAAAATAAGCTGAAACAACACAATTCTTGAGTTTTTTGGGGACAACTTAAAGGATTTATTTTCTATTCACTTTAATTTGTAAAAAAAACTATTAAGCTAACTTAATTCGATAATGTTTGTCCCAATACAGATCTTGTGTGGAACCCAGCATTTTTTTTATAGTTCACGCTATCATTTGTTTCAGGGTTCTAAAGGTGTTCCTGTCACGAACTGCCCAGCGAGTACCATACATCACCACCACTGGAGTGCTGAGGATGCTGGGAGTGATGGTGCTCACTGTCAGCTGGTTTCTGTGCGCATGGACAGTGGGTGTCCTACAAAACAGAGACCGAAACGTCCCACTTCTCATCATATCCACTACCTCAGAAGGACAAGGCTTCAATGTGTGCGATCTGGACCGATGGGACTACATGATGGCAGTCGGTATGTAATGTCAAATAAAGTAATGTTTAAGTAACACACAGTTGAATTAACCCTCACAATTATTAACCCTCCTGTGAATTAACCCTCCTTTTTCAAATATTGCCCAAATGATGTTTAACAAAGCAAGGAATTTTTCACAGTATTTCCTATAATATTTTTTCTTCCAGGAGAAAGTCTTATTTGTTTTAATTTGTCTAGAATAAAGGCAGTTTTTAATTTTTAAAAAAACATTTTATTGTAATATTATTAGCCCCTTTAAGCAATATATTTTTTCGATTGTCTACAGAACAAACCATCTTTATACAATGACTTGCCTAATTACCCTAACCTGTCTAATTGACGTATTTAAGCCTTTAAATGTCACTTTAAGCTGAATACTAGACTGTTTAAAATATCTAATAAAATATTGATGTACTGTCATCATGAAAATGATAAAAGAAATCTGTTATTAGAAATTAATCATTAAAACTATTATGTTTAGCAATGTGTTGAAAAAAATCTTCTTTCCATCGAACAGAATTTGGGGAAAATATATACAGTGGCTAATAATTCAGGAGGGCTAATAATTCTTACTTCAACTGTATTTTTTGTTTTGTTCTGTAAATTACTGATGGCATTTCTTATTTCAAAGGCTTTGTTCTTGTATATAAAATAAAAACAATAAAAGCTCAATGTCATCAATGTGAAACATATTCAAAATATCACAAAAAAGACTGGTGCCAGTGTAGTTGCTTTTCTTGGGTGTCTGGCAAAGAGATTAATTGAAATTGGGGCACATTAGTAGATCAGACAAATGAAAGGATGAATGGTGCTGGATAATTTAATGTTCTTTGAAGCATTTAGTTGATGATCTGAACACAGTTAACCACTGTCATTGGATATGATTCTGCATTATAACCACTACCTACCATACTAATAATGCAGCACAACAAATAACAATAATGTTACCGCTTCATTGTCATAAGTACATGAAACATTGACCTGAAACGACACAGTAAGAGATGAAATAGATTTGCACAATCATTCTGGCACTTTCAGAATGACTTTTAATGTTCAAAGACAGTTTATACAACAAGCCTTCTATTATTTATTCTGCCACATGTCTTTTAATACTTAATATTGTCAGTTTATATGTATATGAACAATATCACATAAGTAGCTGTGTAATATGGCTGTATATCGGCACTGGTGGGAGGCATGTGGCCGAGTCACGATATACAGCCATTTTGCACTGCTACGAGTGTGATATTGTGTTTATACAACAGTTCAATGGCATAATTGTGTATATAAAAAAGAAAAATCAACCACAAGAATCTAAAAACACTTTTGTATGAGGAACTACTTTCTTCAGCCATTCCTTCACATCTGCAGCTGACGTCAGAACAGCAAAAACTGTTGCTAATTCACCAACGTCACTTTAGAGCTAGTGTTTGAATAGTTCTCTATCGTAATGTCTAAAGTGATGACAAAACAGGCGATTTTGCTCACATTTTAAGATTATAAGGCTGAACGGCATAAAGATTTCCCAGTATTTCTCTGTTGCAATCGGGATATCAGAATATTAACCCCAAAAAAGCCAACGCTTAACACATGCAGGCATTTCTTTTTTCTTTTTACTGAACTAGTCTGCAGTAACAAAAACAGGAGAAACAAACAGAGGGCCAACAAAAAAGTAACTCTGGGTTATACAAAGAGTGGCCAACAAAAAATACACACATTCCTCAATACTCAATACAATACAATTACTATGGTATAAATACAGCACTGCAACAAAGAGAAAGAGAGACATCGACTTAGTCACTTACCTGTTTAATAATTATTTGATCAGCTTAAGTTAGAAATTATGATGTTTTTCTTTTCTAAGGGCTTATTTTGCTGCATCTTGTGGATGGACATCAACCGTCTTTGCTCTGCTCAATGACATGCTAATTGTCATCTCTCAAAAATTATAAATATTTAAAATAGGCTCTATCCTTATAAATAAACTGCAAAGTTGCAATCTAAACACTTACATTCTCAACTAAAAATGCCTCAAAAGCACACTTTAAAAAGTGCCCAACAACAGCAATATTTGTCAAACTGCAGACGAAAGTGTAGAGCGGACAAAATTAAATAGAGTGCTGGGGAGTCGTGGAAGAAAGTGAAAGTGAACAGCAGATGGGGAGGAGGGCAGTTAAAGAGGGGCATCAGTAAAATAAGGTGCAGGATCAGATTTATTATTTAAGCCCTGTATGTATGTATGTATGTATATACATGTGGTAAAAGCATAGCTTATCTTTTTCTAGATTGCTTTTGAAAACACTGGAAGGGGGTGATCGGGTCAATCAGTGCTTTTGAAAACACTATCGGTTGGGTTAGGAAAGGGGGTGGGTGGGGGGCATCGGTCAGCTGGACAGTCAGTCAATTGACAGCAGCCTCTGGTGGATTTATGTGAGAACAGCAGTCGCAAATGGCACTCACCAGAGAAATCTGAGAACTGAAAAAGCGTACACAGCAGCCTCTAGTGGATTTGCGAAAAACAAAAACTGCAAAAAAAAAAAAAAAAGTTCCTCCTGGGATGTATTTCACGACCTCCAGAAATGTATATAGCGGTACTTAATAATGAGCCTGGCTTGCAACAAAAAACATATTATGTTTACATATAATTGTCCTTCTCTCTCAGCGGAGCTGTTGTTCCTGTGCTGGGGGAGTTTTCTATGCAGCGCAGTGAAGACTGTACCTTCTGCATTTCATGAACCACGTTACATGAGCATCGCCATCCACAATGAGCTACTGCTGTCCTCCATGTTTCATTTGCTCAGGTAAAAAGAAATGGAAAAATAAAATCCAGCCAAAACAAAGTTCATTTCAGGTTCGTTTAGGCAGCTCATCAAAGCAAACTTTTGGAGGAGTTTGTTTTGGCTCCTAAACACCTTTGAGCTACTATTGGTTCATGATGTTCTGGAATTC